TTTTTTTATTGCCACATTTGGTCAACATACAAAATAACGTGTTTTTTTCCGAAAATATATGCAGCTTATTTGTAGTATTGGGTATTTATAACAGATTAACTGAACACAATAACTGTATCCTAAAGCAAACAAAGTATAAAAGACATACAGACAAACAAACAAAATATTTTGCTACCTACCTGGATAATTTTAGGGTGTTTACTGTAACATGTTATTTTCTTCGCCTTATGTTCCCTGTATGCCCAGCACAGATAATGTCAATTAAATCAATCCCATGTATGTATCAATTTTTATTTCATGTCATGAATAAAGTCTCGAGTGATTGAATCTGATTTTCTTTTAGACTTTAAGCTTGGCATTTAGATTAACAATTGTTTGAAATATTCTAATGCTATTCACAGCAATTAGAATACACTGGTTTTTATTAAGGGAATAAATGTGTGCTCCGGAGGTTTTTATCACTCGTTTAATACCGCTTAGAGTCTGGGTGCTGATAATTACCCGAGCCGGAGGCGAGGGTAATTATCAGCACCCAGACTCTAAGCGGTATTAAACGAGTGATAAATACCAACCGAGCACATATTTATTCCCATTCATAAATACCAGTGTATTCTAATTGCTGTGAATAGCATTAGAATATTTCAAACAATTGTTAATCTAAATGCCAAGCTTAAAGTCTAAAAGAAAATCAGATTCAATCACTTTCAAATAATTCGTTCAAAAAATCCCGATTTTGTTCACAAGTTCACTTCATGCTTTTTGAAACATCCCTCTAGCAAAATAATGGAGTGTTCAGCTGGCGAGTAAGATGTAAACAACCCTTTTATGGAGATTGACGCGCGCGTAACATGTTCTGCGCGATGTCACGCAGAACGCACCTGGGGCGTTGCGTTTTGAATTTAGAACTATAAAATTCTGACTCGCTTGTAGTATTGCGCATGCCTACGTGAGTATTGTGAACGTTCAACCAATGAAACGGTAAGAGGCACTGGATTTTTAGGAGTCCACATTTTATTGTGACACTGGAAAAGTGTTTAAGACCAGCTAGCCATGTCTTTATCATCCGTTTAATACCGGCCACGTGACGGGCTCTCGACCAATAGGAATAGCTAAACTGTCTGAGGTATTTATGAATAAATGATTAAATGATTGCATTATTTTAAAGGTTATAATATGTGAGAATTATGTAAAAGTAACAATTGACTTGCTATGAAAACAGTATGCATAAAACCTCATTCTGAGGATTATCAAAAGCACCACCAAAAATACTCTCTTTTTTTCGCTTGGCTTCGTTATGAAAAAAAACACCATGATTTTAATTACTTTCAGTTTAAACAGAAACGTGCCCACAGTAATGAAAAATGTGGAGTTGGCTGTTGTTTTTAAAGCCCGTAGAAGTGCGGCAAGTGTTTCTTGATTAACAGACTCCAAATTATTTGAAGACTTTCATTGTCCTTAATCAGCATTACTTGATTGCATTCAAGAAACTCACTTTGAAAACATCAGTGAAAGTGTGAGCCCGTTAGATGGTAAAGAAACGATCTCAACGAAATCAATTAATACAAAGTACAAATTCCATTCAACTGACGAGGGTCTTTGTCCTTTGTCACTTTATCATTTCAAGTGAATTTCTTTGTATTGACTTTTACTTGGATGCCATATTTGGTCAGGTGATGCAATTAAGTCCCCTGCTGACAGCATATCCTTTGATAATACTCCAGCCAGCACATGTACATGTAGGCTGAACAAGTACGCTTCCTGGGAATAGGTAGACTCCTGCAAAAAATCAAAAGGTTATAATGGACCCTTCCTGCATGTCGATCAACAGTGCACATTGGCCAATCAGATCACCACTTTTGATCAGGTGACCACAGTAGCTCAGTCAGACTGGGTCACAAGCACTGTTAGATCTATTGCTCACCCCGCCCCCATTTTTTGCACCAGCGGTTAACACCCCTCCCAAGTATTCTGTAAAGAGTGCCCTTTTTACACAAGTAACTTTTGTTTTTTACAAAAGTGTCCTTAGTTTTCTTTAAAAAGTGTCTTTTTTCGCCAGCGGCTTTTAAAGAATTTTAGGTATTTTGTGTAAACGTCAGCAAATGTGCCGCCATGAAAAGCGCCACCCATTGACCTACTGCTGTTTGCGAGTTAACCACGCCCCTTAGACAACTCTATAAGCCTTTTTGCCGATACCGCCATCTTTGAATTATTTTTTTTCGGGGGGGGGGGAGGCATTACAGTGAAAATACTTCTCATCATGCAACTGTATCTAAGAATGATGACATGTCTCTTCATTGTAATGCCCCCCCCATTTCAAAGATGGCGGTATCCGCGAATGGCTCATGGAATTTTGTACGTTAATTTTTGTTTGTCTCAGATTTTGGCGTTCCGCGTCCATTTGTATATCATGTTTAGACAATATTTCACAAGCTGCGTTGACGCAATTCCACCGTGATAGGTTAATTGTCCGATAGTGGCCATTATTGCCGGTTTGATAAGCACCCCATAGGAAGATGGTACCCAGCCCCGTCCCCCTACGCCCCGCTTTTTGATGTTACGGAGGCCGGGGGACTAGTGAAAAAAACCTATCTACATGTACCTTCAACACAAATTGGCAATCCCCCCCCCAATAAAAACGACCTGACTGAAAATCGTGCAATCTCTATAGACATTAAAAGTAATTTTCACAGCTCTCAAATGGCGAGCGTGTGGTTTTACAGTGGTGGATCAATAGGCGGTCACCCCCCCCCCCGGCGCAAACAATCAAAACATTTTCCAGATCCCCCCAACTTGACATCGCACCCCCCAGCCAAAGCTAGATCCACCCCTGTTTAGGATTTCACGCTAGTTTCTGCTATAGTGAGTAGGTTTGCGTAATTGTGAAGTAAGTGCCCTTAGATTAGCTACTCATTATTTTCATGGGAATTGCCAACACTACAACAGACATTTTTGCATGACACTTAGAAATTACGGCTTTTGCAAAAAGCCTAAACAATCAGAGAGGATTACTTCTGTGCTTACAGGGATAGCGCAGGATTTCTGTGCTAGTGTGCTGTAAGCACAAAATGAGGATCATAAGCACAGAATTGTATGCTTAAACCATGAAATTGAGTCTATTGAGTTAGTAGTGGCTTTGTGTACTTACATGACAATGAGCTGAGCCTCCTGGGAATGTTGGAGGAGCAATTCACGGATCTGCATCCATTTGTTGGTCTGAAAGAAAAAAAAAAGATTAAAGTCGAGTTCCATGCACTTGGCAAATCAAATGAACTGAGATTTGTACGGAAAAATGGATTGAAAGTGATCAATCTCATTATTGAAAATCACCCACCAGAATGTTAAAGGTTGGACACAATTAACAGATGTTGCAAGACTGGACTTAAAATCACAAAAACCGGGGACAAACGTAAACTGGATACTGGGAAGAGCTCTAAGTGTATGTCTCCATGCATGGACAAAAGAGGGTGCTTTATAGCCGAACAAGCAGAAGCCGAAATGAAGGACAGTACACTGGTTCACTCATGCTGGTTATCGTGTATATAATGTATGGGTACCAGCATTTACAAGCCACGATGGCGCCTAAATGGCCCTCGTTTATAGTTTCCACTGTATGGGGGTGCTTGAGCGCAAGAAGGAGATTCTACCTTCTCTTTGAGCGTAGTGACTCCTTGCTTGCTGATTTTCCAAGAAAACTTCTCTGTGGTCTCTCATCCAGCATCCGGGGTTAACAGCTCCTTGAACCGTCTCAAGCTCTCTCCGCCGGGAAGGGGGGGGGTGCCCCCTCCCCCTTCCTCTCTCTGGGTACGCCACTGCTGCATGGTGAAGTATTGAATTTTATGTTTTTCACGTTGAGACAAACGAAAAGTGTCGCTGAGATTTGGAACAGCATTGAAACGCTTAATATGGCTTGATATGTGGCCAGGTGTACTCAACGCGACCGTGCGGTTTTCTAAAACACTGCGCAGGCCACAGAATTCCCTCAAACCGTGTTCACTGAGGGCCTGATGTGACGGTACTTGTGGAGCCGTTGGCGGTTTAATTTCGACGGAACACACTGAAAACACAACACAACTTATCAATGTTGATACAAGACACTCGCAACTTATTTACAAGTGTGTTTTTATTGCAATCTTTAAAATGCACCTAGCTTCATGTCCCATTTAAACCTATTTTCAATTTTTGTTTTGCCATTTTCAAGGGTATTTTGGTTAATTTTTGTTTACGCTGTTGTGAATTTTCATATTCATGAACAAAAGTGTGATGTCATTACAAGCAATAAAACACAATGTCACAGCTACGTCAGCACCAAATGTTGCCAGAATTTGGGATATTTAATCGATGTCATCTTTTTTTTCTTTTCTTTGGTAATTTGTTGATGTGTCAGTACATGACAGTAAGCCAATGAGCAAACTTTTCTCACAAATTTTTTTCATGAACAAAATTTTGGGTTCAAAACTGAAAAGTGTCTTCCTAATATGACATCACAGCAACATTGCCCTCAGTTGTCTGGAAAAGCATGGACAATATTAAAGAAGTGCACTTTATAATAAAATTAACCAAAAAGGGATCTCAAATAATTTTCATATATTTAAGAGGAGTGGAAAGTTTAAGTAAAAGTATTGCCGCACGATTCTGAACCAAAAAAGTCGGACAACAGCATTTTCAAACTAATGGGCGGAGGTGATTCAACAGCTGTTTCATGAACGAATAAAATCATACACAAACAGCCGTTGTAAATAATGTTATTATTTTCCTCGCCCAACGTTTAGGTTTAAAATGTTGCGCAGCTCTGACAACTTTTGTGAATCGTGTTGCTGGTCCTTCCTTACTCCCTGTTTGTAGCCAAGCGAGGGGGTACTTCCGCACAGAGTCCAAAGCAACAGTGTCTCAAGTCTGGAGAGTTGAAAGTTCAAATGTCAACAAGTCAATGGACCAGTTATTTTCCTAATTTCAATCACAAAGTGCAAATTTAAAGAGGTCACTCACTAATGCCTCACTGTTCAGCCAAATGACAGCAAGCATACTACACAAGTGAACGACTTCTCCAAATTCTGCAGTTTCTTCAGCGCATTCCTGTGCCTGAGGTCTGCCGAGTCTCGGTCTGCACTCTCCTGCACCGATCTCCCCAGGGTGAAGTTATCGCAGCCGTACTCCCCGCCCCCAAAGAACCCCACAAGGGGCGTGTCGGGAAAGACCTCGTGAAAGGCTCCGCTTTCCACATCCTCGGCCTGGTAGAAATGGCGCCCTTGCCCAACGCAGCTGAACAAGAAAGCCAGGCTGTGTTTCGCTGGCAATCCCAACTTCTTGAGTTCCTGGAATTTCGAGCGAGCTTTGTCCCGGGTGGTGACACTGTTATCAAGAACCACAGATGCTGCCCTCACGTTGGGTCCGGAGAACGTCACTGTCAGACAACTGGGCAGTTTCTTGGAGTTTGTTCCCCTGCAAAGAATGCAATTTGACATTATTTAATCCAGCAATACCCATGATGATACTCACCATGGTCAGCTATGACCCATCTGAAATCTGCAAAGTATGTCTCTCCAGAAACATGTTCTTAGTGAGACACGTCCAAGTCTGCATGTTTGACATTGTTTTTGCTTTCTTTTCTGGTCCCAGAGGGCCAGCTTATAGTCCTCTTTGTACCTGACAAACTCACTGACTGTCACTTATGAGCCGAGCAGTGCTATTGTACAGGATTACCCCCAGAGGGCCAGCTTATAGTCCTCTTTGTACCTGAGTAACTCATCACTGACTGACTGTCACTTATGATCTGGGCAGTGCTATTGTATAGGATTACCCCAGAGGGCCAGCTTATAGTCCTCTTTGTACCTGACTTACTCACTGACTGACTGTCTCCCCTGAGTCGGGCAGTGCTATTGTATAGGATTACCCCCAGAGGGCCAGCTTATAGTCCTCTTTGTACCTGACCAACTCACTGACTGACTGTCACTTATGAGCCGGGTAGTGCTATTGTACAGGATTACCCCCAGAGCGCCAGCTTATAGTCCTCTTTGTCCTGAATCACTCACTGACTGACTGTCACTTATTAGCCGGGTAGTGCTATTGTATAGGATTACCTCCAGAACGCCAGCTTATAGTCCTCTTTGTACATTCGACTAACGTAAATGGTTCCTTCACTGCTAGATGTAGGAGTTGGAAAAAATGTTGCAACCTGACACAACATTTTTCTTCATATAGCCTATCATCTCAATGAAGGTCACTTATTGCAAAAATGATGATAAGACTAGTAAATTTGCCACATTTATGGGGCCAGTCAGGTTTCAACATTCTTTCCTAAAAGTAATTTTCTATCGAGTATAAAGCAGGTGAGTAATATGCTTCTAAAGCGTGAATCAACTACAAACATGACAAATAAATCCTAAATAAAAAATGTGAAAATCTAAATTTGACAAAGTTCTACAAACAAAGTTCTCCTATTCGGATCGGGTACATTTACTGAGACAATGTAAAAAATCAATAATGCAAGGGTGCTACAGAACATTGCCACTGTTGGTCTTGATCACTGACGTCTTGGGCCAAGACTAGTCAAAATTGGCCTGATGTAGTGACTGGGTGTTGCCAATTCGATGTGGAGGGGGGTAGGCTGAGCCACATTTAAAGGGAATACAACATTTGCTTTTGCCGCAATTTTCTGAAATAAATGGATTTGGAGGATTAGTATGTTATAGCAGATATTGTTAAAATGACTTGTTTCATGTTTTGGGCTTGTAGATGCTGGAAAAACCAAGAAAACCAATCATGTTCTTGTCTGGTTCCCTGACCCAACATAAGATGAAACGGAGCAATTTATAGACTTTGGGGAATTGTAAGGTCAGAGAATCAGTCTAGCAGGCTTTTACCCGTTCACAGGTGTGTAATCAATAATCAATGGTATATCTCAGCTGGATCAACTGATGCAGACGACAGGTGCATAGCTAATCAATTAATATAGCGCCCTTGTGTGACGGCAGATGCATCTATCCAATCAATTAACACAGTTGACAATGTTGTATTTCTAACAATCAAATAATAATTTGGTCATCGTTATAACTCTTCTTCATTTTCGCAGCGTTGGACCTTCCAAAGTTTTGCAACCCGTGGTTGGCAAAATGTGCCGACGGTTTGCCGACCAAGCGTGGAAATATCTACGTGTGGATTGCACTTCTCAAAGCACTTTTGCAAGTTTAATAGTACGCGCGAAAAGAACAGCGCCCTCAAGCGATATAGAATCTATCTTTGTTCTGACCGCCCTTTGTACAATTGTATAAGCCGCAGTAAACACTTCATGGGCAAATACAATGTACATGTATAGTAATGATACTAGGCCTAGGGCCCTAGATCCGTACGTACCAAAGAGTACGTACACACACGTTCGCTGCACTACGCGGCGCGGTGCGAACCAGGGTGACCGTAAGGTCAGAGAGCCAAATTCTGCTAAATGCACATCAAAAATCTGCCAAATTCCCATTACTCGAAATACGCTATAAACACTTAAAATCACATGCAGATTTATAGTCGCATAAAGATAGTTATGACATTATTAACATAGGTAAATTTCGGGCAAAACGTACGTGGATCCGGCCACGACAAATTCCGTTTCCCAGTGATAGATCGATCTATTTAGAAGTAGAACCTCTTCCATTACGCAAGGGTTTGTTTCAAAGGATTGAAGCTTTTTTTTAAACAAATGTACGATTTTTGGTTCAAATTAGCTGTTTTTCTGTCAGAACCATTTTTGCAGAATTCTGCCTGAAACAATTGTACCTCCATATGCTGAAACCTTCCAAAACAAAATCCATTCTGTCAAATTTTCTGTCAAACTCATTTTTTTAAACAAAAATTCTGTCAAAGTTAGCCGAGAATCGGCTAAAACAGTCGCCCTAGAGCGGACCTTGGTTCACAGACAGGTTCCCACGGATCCTGGGGATGTGTAGCGCGCGCTGGCCGTGCACATGCTGTAGGCGCACCTTACGCGTATAGAGTAAGGTTGCAGACCAGTAAATCGGTCCGAAATTGCCTACGCCGGCCAAATCACGATTTGCTTGCCCTCAAAATCTTCAGTATTTGAGCATTCTGTGGGTAATGAACTTGAGGGTTTTTAAAAAATATGGGTGGAAGCCGTGCACAGGACTGTGAGCTTGTAGTTCCGTTCAATTTTAATGAAATTGGGGCCCTTTAAAGCGCTCTATTTTACCATAAATTGTAGTAGGCATCGTTTTTCAAAATGACGATGGGCTTCAGGACAATTTTCAGGGGTGATCATCTTCGGATGGAAATTTCTCCTGAAAGTCATCAGTTGACCCCCCCCCCCCCCCCAAAAAAATGAATAGAAAATAAGATGTCGAAATAAGCTTTAATTTGATGTGTGTCTCGAACACCTTGGAGAGTTGTGAGTATTTTCCCCAAATTTCCAAAGTGGGAGCATTTACCATTGTGGTCTAGGGAAGTTTATTTACTGGTCTGCAACCATATAAGTCCGACACCTCATCAGTCAGATGTCGGAAAATTTCTTTTCAAAACGCAGACCGTTTGGCTTTAAAAACGGCGAAATTGTGTAAAAATAGCCAAACACCAACTCCCTGATTTTTGGGCTTCAATCTGAGCGCAGGCTGATAAAATTACGGTTGAAAAATTGGTCCTATTTGCCTGAAAAATGAATGGATGCAACTTGTAAAATGGCTACATGCAGGCTTGGGAACGATGTACCTACGTCTGGGGCTCACTCCAAAAGTTTCAAGTCTGAAGCCTTGTCGATTTGTCAGCTTGTTGGCCTATTCATCCGCTATCATACAAGCCATAGTTTGTCCAAATCCATCCATGTTAAAGTACCTTTAGACCCAGACACATGAGAGCCATGTCGGCTGGCGCTGACAGCCCTTGCTATGGGACTTACTGCACAAAAACGAAACTGGGGGCATCATGTACCTACTTCCGGTGCTCACTCCAAATGTTTCAAGTCTGAAGCCTTGCCGATTTGTCAGCTTGTTGGCCTGTTCATCCGCTATCCAACAAGCTATAGTTTGTCAAAATCCATCCATGTTAAGGTACCTTTAGACCCAGACACATGAGAGCCATGTCAGCTGGCGCTGACAGCCCGTGCTATGGGACTTACTGCACAAAAACGAATCTGGGGGCATCGTGTACCTACATCTGGGGCTCACTCCAAAAGTTTCAAGTCTGAAGCCTTGCCGATTTGTCAGCTTGTTGGCCTATTCATCCGCTATCCAACAAGCTAAAGTTTGTCAACATCCATCCATGTTAAGGTACCTTTAGACCCAGACACATGAGAGCCATGTCGACTGGCGCTGACAGCCCTTGCTATGGGACATACTGCTCAAAAACGAAACTGGGGGCATCATGTACCTACTTCTGGAGCTCACTCCAAAAGTTTCTAGTCTGAAGCCTTGCCGATTTGTCAGCTTGTTGGCGTATTCATCCGCTATCCAACAAGCTAAAGTTTGTCAAAATCCATCCATGTTAAGGTACCTTTAGATCCAGACACATGAGAGCCACGTCGGCTGGCGCTGACAGCCCTTGCTATGGGACTTACTGCACAAAAACGAAACTGGGGGCATCATGTACCTACTTCCGGGGCTCACTCCAAAAGTTTCAAGTCTGAAGCCTTGTCGATTTGTCAGCTTGTTGGTCTTTTATCCGCTATGCAACAAGCTTAAGTTTGTCAAAATCCATCCATGTTAAGGTACCTTTAGACCCAGACACATGAGAGCCATGTCGGCTGGCGCTGACAGCCCTTGCTATGGGACTTACTGCACAAAAAGGAAACTGGGGGCATCATGTACCTACTTCCGGGGCTGACTCCAAAAGTTTCAAGTCTGAAGCCTTGTCGATTTGTCAGCTTGATGGCCAATTCACCCGCTATCCAACAAGCTAACGTTTGTCAAAATCCATCCATGTTAAGGTACCTTTAGACCCAGACACATGAGAGCCATGTCGGCTGGCGCTGACAGCCCTTGCTATGGGACTTACTGCACAAAAACCAAACTTGGGGCATCATGTACCTACTTCTTAATGAAGGTCACTTATTGCAAAAATGATGATAAGACTAGTAAATTGGCCACATTTATGGGGCCAGTCAGGTTGCAACATTCTTTCCTAAAAGTAATTTTCTATCGAGTATAAAGCAGGTGAGTAATATGCTTCTAAAGCGTGAATCAACTACAAACATGACAAATAAATCCTAAATAAAAAATGTGAAAATCTAAATTTGACAAAGTTCTACAAACAAAGTTCTCCTATTCGGATCGGGTACATTTACTGAGACAATGTAAAAAATCAATAATGCAAGGGTGCTACAGAACATTGCCACTGTTGGTCTTGATCACTGACGTCTTGGGCCAAGACTAGTCAAAATTGGGCTGATGTAGTGACTGGGTGTTGCCAATTCGATGTGGAGGGGGGTAGGCTGAGCCACATTTAAAGGGAATACAACATTTGCTTTTGCCGCAATTTTCTGAAATAAATGGATTTGGAGGATTAGTATGTTATAGCAGATATTGTTAAAATGACTTGTTTCATGTTTTGGGCTTGTAGATGCTGGAAAAACCAAGAAAACCAATCATGTTCTTGTCTGGTTCCCTGACCCAACATAAGATGAAACGGAGCAATTTATAGACTTGGGGGAATTGTAAGGTCAGAGAATCAGTCTAGCAGGCTTGTACCCGTTCACAGGTGTGTAATCAATAATCAATGGTATATCTCAGCTGGATCTACTGATGCAGACGACAGGTGCATAGCTAATCAATTAATATAGCGCCCTTGTGTGACGGCAGATGCATCTATCCAATCAATTAACACAGTTGACAATGTTGTATTTCTAACAATCAAATAATAATTTGGTCATCGTTATAACTCTTCTTTATTTTCGCAGCGTTGGACCTTCCAAAGTTTTGCAACCCGTGGTTGGCAAAATGTGCCGACGGTTTGCCGACCAAGCGTGGAAATATCTACGTGTGGATTGCACTTCTCAAAGCACTTTTGCAAGTTTAATAGTACGCGCGAAAAGAACAGCGCCCTCAAGCGATATAGAATCTATCTTTGTTCTGACCGCCCTTTGTACAATTGTATAAGCCGCAGTAAACACTTCATGGGCAA